ACCAATTAGATTCTTAATAATCATTGTTCTTTGTCAAATACTATTATCATGTGAGAGAAATATCATTATTATAGATAAATGTTGAACTTCTTCTGGTAATGATGTTATGCTCACCATCTTGAACTTTTGCATAACTGTGTCAACAAATAGCTAAATAACATATAACATGTCACAACGGTAACAATATATATAAAATTATTTCTATTTAACACAAAATACAAGTATTTTAGTAAAAATAAAAGTTATTAACAAAAATTATTTTATAATTTTTAGATCAAATCTGATCTGATCCAAAATTATTAGTTCAGATTGATCTCAATCCTGATTTAATCTGATCTGACTCAAACAGAGCTTTACTTAGAACACAAAATACAAGTATCTTAATAAAAATAAATATTATTAACAAAAAACTATTTTATAATTTTTGGATCAAATTCAATCTGAATCTGATACAATCTGAAATTATCAGTTCAGATTAATTTTAAATCTAACCCAATCTAATCTGAATAGAGCTTTAATAATTTTAATATAGATAAAAATTTATCATTTGATTTATTTAGTTTAAATAAATTAAATAATAATATTTTTATTTATCTAGTTTTGGTAAATTTAATAATAGTAATTCTTACAAAATCTGGTAATTCATAAAATATTATTTCAAGTTGCTGCTTTTTTGAAAAAAATTTAATTTGGAACACTTAATTTGAAATATGATATCTCATGACCACTAGACCAAATTCCACCAAAATTTAATCAGAATTCCACTAAATCTCAGTAAATATGTGGCTTTATTTTTATCCAATTTGGTTAAGTGAGTCATGAGATTATTTCATTTTTTAAAAAAATGGAATAATAAAAAAATTTGTCCAGTAACTTTAGGACATAATATTTCACGATTCACCAGTCCAATTCGGACAATAATATTATCATTCGATTCGTCAAGTCATCGAATCGAATGGCGTATTTTAAGTTTGGATTTGGTCAGTGCATCATGAGATATCATGTTCCAAAGTTACTGGACAAATTTTTTTATTTTCCCCATTTTTTCCGTTTTTAATCAGATTTTAATCCGAAAATTTTATAATTAAACCTGTGTTTTTCAGAACTAAAAACAGAACTGTATTTTTTCCTGATTATTTTTTTATAGGATTAGTTTAAAAATTATTAAAAGACATTCTATTTAAAAAAATGTAAAACAAGTCCGTCTGATTTCATTTGGTGATATTAATCAGAGTATTGAACGCCATTATAAATTTGAATTCTCAACGTGCAAAACAGCTTTTGCACGCAGAAATCAATTAAAAACCTCGTATGAATTTATATCCTCTACCAAAAGTATTCGGCAAGTAATTCATCACATGCTTGACATATTATCAATTGAATATTCGTCCATTCTATTTGTTTAAGAATATATGAATTAATTAATAGAAATTTAAGAATGTTGCATAATTTTTCCGGATTCAGTCATTCCGATGATGTTCTATCATCAAAAGGAGCTTTCTACAAAAACACGAAAATTAATTATTCAATATACTGTATATATCTATAACTTAGAAAAAAATAAATAATGTTGTCACATATAGAGGGTTTCACTTTTCCTAATGGTTTCCCGATATTTTATAAAATGGTTTTATTAATTTCGGCATGCAACCCTTTCTACCTGTGTGTACGTTTATAGATTAATGGATGTTTGAGAGAGTAATAATAATTCATAATTCAAAGAATTTCTGGCTACAACTAAATTAATATCATTCTAAGAGAAAGCAATTATGCAGTGAACCGATTGATAATGATCGAAAGGTGCGTTTTTGTTGAAAAATTTATATTACGAAAACTTTTAATTCGCCAGTCATTTGTGTGAGTACTTTAAAATATCAATCGACCAAAGACAAAATTTTCTATTTTGAGAATTTAAAATTACAATTTCCAGATGTCACAAATGAATCGATTTTGTTATCTCAACCCGTCCGAATAAAATATCTTAAAGCACAAACAATGGATTTTCTATTCTTTTTTTTCTAATATAAAGAATGAGAGCTCTGTATTCATTGTACGTATTTGCACTCTAGTACGATGATTCGAAAGAACCGAGATTCGTTCACATGTTACTGTAGAAATCAAAAAGCTATCGCTATCGAAATAAAATTTATTTCAAATTTGGGTTATTATGTAACCAACATGCTTGTCGTTTGACACGCAATTTACATGCCATGTGTAAATATTGATATATTAAATGCATACAGATTTTCAATGTGCATCTATATGTAATATGATAAAATGTGCTGTAAGAAACATCATGAAGTACATGTATATGATCGAGTTGTAGCACGAAATATAAAGGTATACGCGCCATTACTTGTACTGCATTTATTTGTCATCATATATACATGGACAATTAAAAATGAGCATAAAATACAGGAAATATCCAACAAAACGTTAATCGCACCAAACACATATTCGCAACGCTTCTTTTTTATTGTTAGTTTGATTGATTGATTCAAAATCTACCAACCAAATCAAATTTTTAGCATATATTATTCCACATTCAAGAAATTGGCCAAGAATAATATAAAAAGTAAAAAAGGCAGTGTTACTGAATTTCCGAGCACAAATAGAAAAGATCGTTATCTTAAATTTTATTTCTATGCTTCTCGTTTGTTCTTTTCTTCCTAACGCTCGACTATCTTTGCGTTCTTTTGATAACAAATATATATATAAGCGGGAAATCGTTTTCTTTATCTTAAATTTTACTATCATATAATTTATACAAAGACCGCTATTTTTCATAGAAATTTAATCTTGAAAAAAAATCAGTGAAATGAATAATATTGTTATGATTCTGATTTTTGTTATAATACTCTCGATACAGGTAAGATACGAGGAAAGCCAAGCTTGATTTGAAAAACTTTACTTAGTGACTTCTAAATTTTTAGAATAATCAAATATACGCACAAACACCATATATGGTTAGCATACCTCAATCTTCAACATGGTTAGCGTGTAGTGAACAAGAAACTAATTATATAAGTAAGTTTACATTGATTAAAAAATGTTTCGTCGATATATAAAGTAACGAATCCATTCAATTTTCTTTGAATAGGTTATTCAGTAAAAGTCACAAGCGACACAACTACAACGACTTCTTACGACAAAATACATCCTTTCCCTATAATCTCACCCAAAAATTACACACAAATCGACGTAGACGGAGTAAAATTGTTAGTAGCAGAAGGAGGCATACAAACAGTCGTGGCAGAACGAACTGACATAAATAATTATTTCGATGGACTGAGATTTAAGATGTACACACCCCTTAGTTGTTATCATAATCACAGAACAATGGCCACGACAATACTTTGCTCGCATTCTGGTAGTATAGAAAACGGAGGAAAAGATGCAAATGGGATTAATTTATGTTTGGCTGTGACGAATCCTAATGATAATTCAGTAGTCGCTAAAATTCATGTCAACTTTAAACGACAAATCGATTCTTCTAAAAGCGCGAAAATTATTTTGCAAGAAATATCAGAGAACGAAAGGCCATCATCTTCATCACCAAAGAATATAAAGGGGTTACCGAATGAAGGAGCAACAACTGGTGAACACCATGGATCAATAATGGCATTCTTTTTACTTTTATTATTCGCTTTCACAATATAATTATTGTTATAAACAATCTTTTTCTAACCTCAAAATTATTTATTAATATAATGCTAGTGTATACATTAATACTTTATGTTTGTATAATAATATGTAAAATGGTTCAAACTATCTAACTAATTTATTACCTTTCTATATACATACCTTATAATACTTTTAATATAATTTTAATACAATTTTAATTTCTTTAGTTGTACTTTTATAAAATTCTTTAAAATAGAGTTCGATATTCTAGATTATAATTATATCTTTTAGTTTGTAAAATTTTTTAAAATAATTACTTGATAGATTCCTTTATTAAGAATTAGTTCTGTCAGCATATATCGATATAAGAGTTAGCGTTAACTAATAATTTATGTTTATAGCATATATGCAATTTTCATATATTTTTGATACATAATCAAAAATTTTGATGAATAAAAACATCAGTGTTACGATAAGTCACAATAACAGAGAAATTATCAATCAATAACAAGTACATGTATACAGTACTCTGTTTTTTACCAAGTACTATGGTTAAAAATACCAAAATGCGCATGTTAAATCCTTGTTTCCAGCTACAGTACAGTATATAAATTTTGTATTCTATTAATTGAAGAAATAACAATTTTTTGACACACATTTTTTAGTCAGTGAAAAAGGTGATATTTTAGATTTTAGCGTATGCGAAGACTTTTCTGTGACGAATGAACTAAGCAGTTTTCGATCTATGTGGGCTTCCGAGTCTTCAGGTAGTATTTCTTCTTCTGGGAATGGTGCTAGTGGCAGATCTGGTAATAGTAATGGTGGCGAATCTTCTTTTGGTGGTAGTTCCAGAAATTCAAATTTATTATCAGCCGCATGTAATCATGATGGTACAATTTACGTATCGGTATTAATAAAAAATGCTTATGAAAAATATTTACATACCAATTTTTGCTAAATTGTAGTGTTGGTCAATGAGATAAAAGCTCTCGAATGTTGAAGTTTCAATTAATATATTGACATCTGGAGGCTCCAATTTAGCTGAAAATTGGCATGTGGGAAAAAATATTCACCATCAAAATTTCATTAATTAAAAAATCATGTAGATCGCTTAATTTCTAATGCTATCTTGTTCGGATACTTTTTTGTACTATCGTTGATTAAGATACGCCAATTTCTATTTGCAGTTTTTTCTCACATATTTTTCAGTCACGAATCGGATGTTATGCAGGAGCAGCTGAAAAGCAATCAATATATAGCCAAAATATTACGGCTGACGCTGAAATTAGCGCATCCTATTGGCTGATCTCCAATTTCATTGGTCAATTTCAGCATCAGCCGCAGATCATTTCATTTTCCTAAAATGGCAGCAAAAATTCTGTTATCATTATCGTTATTGGCTTTAAATGAGCATAGAAACTATCGCTATCGCTATTAACCTTACCGCAAATGGCCATATAAGAGACCCTCTGCTAGTAGACCTTAATTTTGTTCAAAATTCTATTGTGTGAAAATAATCAAAAGGGGTTAACGTTAACAATTGATATCGATATAAAGGTCAGTTAGAATCTTTTTTAGATAATTTTTATAAAGACTTTGTGTGATTCAATTGGACGTTCTAAAATGTTAAGTCGTGAAGGGAATGCTCATATTATCTCAAAGCAACAACGTCTAGAAGAGAAATCTGCAATTAATAGTAATGAGCATGTTAATTTAGATATTGCAGTTGACCCTTCAAATCTTATTGAAAGTGTAAAATTTACAGTATTGAGCATCTTTTGCGATTGGAAAGAAGAAGAGCTGGAGTTTTCGCGTTTTAATAATGGTTTGACTAATTTAGGTGAACGAGCTATTTCTACATAAAAAAAAAATGTGCTTTAAAACCGCATTAATTGGGTATTAAAGATAAAATTTTTTTCTATAGTTGTAAAGTGTCGTAACAAAGTCAATAGATTTGAGATTATAATTCGTGTATACGGAAAAAATTCACAAATATTTGTTGATCGCAAGCAAGAGATTCGGGTGAGAATATTATATATTTTTCTTGCTTTCATCTTAAATTGGTTTTTTTATTTTTCTATAGAATATGTTAGAATTGTCAAAACTGGGATTATCAGCTCCACTTTACGCAAAATTCAAAAATGGACTTATATACGGATTCGTATCTGGTGAATCTTTGACTCTTGAAAACCTTAAGGATCCATTTATTTCGTCTCAAATCGCAAAGAAACTGGCAACGCTTCATAGAGTGAATATCGATGATAACTGTAAAGAACAGACTTTATTTCACAAAATACATAACTGGCTAAATAAAGGTTATCTTTCTTACCATGATTCATTTTCTTATGGAAGACTAATAATAGAATGCTATTAATATAATAGTGCCTGAGAAATACACAAATCCAAAATTGAACAAGAGTTTTCATCAACATTTTAATTTGAAACAACTCAAAGAAGAGGAAAGTACCGTTCTCATAATATAATATTGTTGTGACATAAATCTAATACACATGACTCGTATTTATAGGCTGTTTACCTGGAACGCGAAATCGCTAAACTAAATTCACCTATTGTCTTTTGTCATAACGACCTATTGCATACAAACATAGTTTATCAAGAATCCGAAAAAAAGATATCGTTTATTGATTATGAATGTGGATCTTTTAATTATCGTGGATTTGATATCGGCCTTCATTTTAATAATTTTGCAGGTTTATAAGGATCGTTTATTGGTTTTGTCTTTTTGTGTTTAAAAATTCATTTATAATTTAAGCTTTCTGCGTATAGGCTTTCATTTTGATTATAGCTTATATCCAACGAAAGAATTTCAATTCGTATGGCTACGACATTATCTTGATTCGCTTCACCCAGGTAATTAAATTACATGTATCTGCAAACTATTATAAAAGGACGCGACTGACTGACTAGAACATTAAAACTCTTATACTAGAAATAAAAATTACAGAAAAACAAGTGGAGGAACTTTATCGCGAAGTATCGAAATTCGCGCTCGTCTCACTTTTTTATTGTAGCGTTTGGGTTTTTGTATGTAATTTCGATCATGCTAGCTCTATTTTCCAATGCACTTATTCTAATTTTCTATCTTTCAGCTCATTTCGGAAATTACAGACACAGATTTAGATTTTATGGAATACGCGATTAAAGCTATGAACATGTATTATCGTCGACGTGAAGTTCTCGCGCTCTGAGTATCTTTTCTGTTATGCAATACGTCGAAGCTCGTGTATTTATGATGCATTCCCGCTTAGTCACATCAAAAGCGCTAACAATATTGCAGATCATTAGGGAGTGACAGATATTACGTAATTATCAGGGGAGGAGATCTCAAAACTTCATCTTTCACGTGATCAAAAATAGCCAATTAAATATAATAAAAATCTCACCTGAAAGAGAGAGTTAGCTCTATAATAATTTAATATTATATAATATTTATCACTTCTTATTTTTAAATTAAATATAATTGATTAAATTTAAAATGTAATTATTTTTATATTAATATTGTTGTAATATGAATTTTAGTATATCACATGACTTTTCATAGTTTATTTTAATTGAATAATTGATTTGTAAATTAAATTTATATTTATTTATATATTATTCATATTTTACTCATACTATTTTTATATTTCATTCTAATTTTATTATATTTCATATTATTCTATTTTTATTTCATATTATTTTATTCTATTTTATATAATTTATAATTATTCTTATATTAATTTTAATTTTGAAAAATAGATTGCTTATAATAAATTATTTTATATTTAACTTATATTAGAAGTTATTTAAAAGACTTATTGATTTGTATTATAACTTATAGAAATTATATTATAATTTATTAAAATTAGTAAAGTTATTTTATATTATTCTAGCCTGTTAACAAAACAAATACTTGTTACTTATTTTTATAATTTTCAGTCTTTTACATCTTAAACTTAATCTTTTTCATCTTATATTTAATAAAAACACATTAATAATATATAAATATCTTAAATATTATTAAAACAATAATAATAATACTATCAAGTAATCTATTTTATTTTAAAGTTTTATATATTTTATTGAAAAAATACAATTTTAAATAATATATTTTTTAAAAATTTTAGTATTATTACTGTTTTTGTTGGTTTTATTATCTTTCAAGTATAGATCACGTGTTTTTCACATATTTCAATTAAGTAGGAGAGTTATTATATATTTAAAGTAATTAAAATTGAAAGAGATTAATTTAATAAAGATAGGTAACAATGTATTTATTTTGTTAAACTACTAGAATAAGTTTAGAAATCTTTTTTTAATTCAAATGATTTAGTTATTAAGTAATCTTCTTTTCTTAATTGACTTTTTATTAAAATTATCTTCTTCTTTTATTATAAATCTAAATAATATTAATTAATTTCACAAAGT